CCAGATCCCTAGATCGGGGACCGCGTACAGAGGGCACCGTCCAATCACGGACCACACATTACCCGCGAGGGTGACGAGCACGCACGGTCCACGCGAACGTTCAAAACTGAAGCGTGGTCACCGCACGGCCATGTGGCACGAACGCGGCTCCCCCCCCCGTCAAGGTGTGTCGCTGGGCGAGGGGTCTGAAGTTGATGACTGCATCCATCGAAAGGGCCGCCGTAAACAAGCTTCAAATGGTGCCGAACGATTCGTTCAATTAGCGGGACGATTCCCGGCCGCCGCCGCCGCCGTCATCTTCCAAAGAAGAAGCTGCACCGGTGGTCTCCCGAACTGCTCACGGCGCCGCGGCGGCAGGACGCCGCACCCTCCGGCCAGGTGGGAACAATACATGGCGGACACAGGCCGCCAACCCGTTTGGCGACTCAAAAGGAACATCAAAAGGAACGCCGATCCATTGTCAGACCTGGCGCCGGTCCTAACAAAGCACACTTGCTTGGTACCCAGTACGGCATAATAATAAATAAACATTTTTCGCTGCCGTACATGGTTGTTAGACATATACCATCAGTGACCACTCGTTGATAGCGATTGTGATTGACACGGGCCCGAGCGTTCGTGGGGCATGCTCAAAAGGCAAAAGCCGTAAACTCGAACTAGTAAAGTAGGACGCGTTACGGAAGAAAGCAGAAGAAGGGTGCGGTGACGAGCCGATCTCAAATATTGACGAAAGGACTGCGACGCTCAATAGGAACGTAGATGTGGCAACGTGTGCCATCCTGCCCGAGGCAAAGCTTGAAGTAATCGAGAGCCGGCTTCTTCAGACACAGCCTGGTAATGCGAAACGAATGGCACAGTTGGACAGACACATCGAGAAACATGCGTTCAAAGTATTTTTGGCACAGTTGGAAGACAATGACTCACCCCGTATTCATAAACACTCCTTGACTTGAACTTCGCTTGAAACCGCCTTAAAAGCAGCGCGTTTGAAACGTGTGTGTGCGTTTGTGCTGCCTTGGTACCACCTAAAAACGGCGCGTTCGAAACACTTTTGTGCTGCATCGAAGTTGGTGAGAAGTGAAGTTCAAGTGAAGCACCGTTACTGAATACGAGGGTTAGACAGGCAGGTGTGTGGGGTGGATGCTTTGTGTCTCTTTCGGCATCTGTTGGCTCCGGGCAAGACTCCGGCCACCGAAGGCCTTAAAACTCAGAGACTTGTGAGAGATTATGAAGGTGCGAACATTGTCGCCGCAATAAGAGACCGTTACTTTAAGACGGGAGACAGCGTCCAACACCCCGATTACGATGGGGTCGTTAATATTCAACTATAGGCAGACTTAGCGAGGCAGAAATTTGGAGAGTCCTTTTCGAACTAAACTCCCGATTGGCGCCAGGACCATCCAAGGTTACCAACAAGGCTCTCCGAAGCTTAGACGACGAGACAATCTCCCGATTGGTGACTTAGGTCAACGAGTGCTGGACAGACGGCTCCTTTCCCGAAGCACGCAAAAGAGCTCGAGTTATTATGAGACTTAAACTGGAGCGAGAAAATTGCGCTCGATAATGGTCAATTTCGCTTACATCCTGTGTAGTAAAGTCATGGAGCACGCAGTTCTCATTAGAGTGACAAGCTTTCTCGAAGACCACGACGTATTTCCGCACACCATGCAAGGATTACACCGTGATCTCTGCGCACAGGATGCATTGCTTCAGCTAAAGCACCACATTGTTGACGACACTATCAGCTCCACCAAGCCTATTCTCGGCCTGTATATTGAAGAGGCCGTTGATACCATGAAACACGAAGCGATTATAAAAAACAAGTTGAGACATTGGGCCTATATAGGTCGAAAAATGTACAATTACATGCGTGATTTTCTTGCAAGCAGGCGCGCATGCGTCGTTATCGCCAACCATGCATGCAAGAATCACAATATTTTGAGATGGGCTCGAAGGGCACGCCACAAGACTCCGTAATTTCACCATTACTTTTTCATTTAGTGCTATTTAGGATACCCGAGAAATTATTGGACGTACTACGACGGCAGATGGTATCACAGTATATACGCGGGCGACCCCGAAGAGGTTGTGATGGTCACGTCAGAGAACGCTACTGGCGGGTGTAGACGAAGTTCAGAAGTACTTGCGAGGAACGGGCCTCGAGTGCTCAGCAACCAAGTCCGAACTTTTAATAATCCCACTAGTAGAGACCGCAAAAACCCATGCGATGAGGAAAGGCCATCTTTCAAAGTATGCGTTCTGTTGGCAGACGGCACTCCCATACCACAGGTGAACAGAATTAGAATTCTGGGGTTATACATACAGGCAAACAGTCATGCATAATGGTGGGACGGTGTGCCGACTCCGTCGTTCGACGACGCGATCAGACTCTTGCGTCGTATCACGAATAGACGTAATGGTAGGCGCGAACACTGCGCGATACCTCTCGTGCAGGCATACGCGATAAGCCGAATTCAAATTGAAATTGAAATTGGCATTTTATTCCGCAACAAAAACATGTTACGAGGAAGGCAGGTAAAAGCTGTGAGAACAGCTTGAGTAGCCCTGACCCCCTACAGGGTAGCACAGAAGACGTGCGGCTAAGGACAACCAAAATTAAAGTGTTTCTCAATGTGCATTAAAAATCAAACAAAATTGAAAGATTACAATGCAGACATAAAAAGCTATAGTGGCCAGATCACATCATACGTTGCCCCCTACCTCAAGTGCATGGGCTCAGAAAAAAGCAAAATCAACTATATGCTTTCAAGAGAGCGATCGACCGATCAACGCGAGCATCGAAATATTTCTATGACTTCACAACTCACTCGACGAGTTATTGAGGCCCATGGCATTGCGCAATACGAACGCTTAGCAAAATCAAAGATGAGTCCACACATTCTTGATTCACTTGGGCATCAGATATCACACTCAGCAAGAAGAAAAGGCGGAGGTTGCTGCCTCAGTCCGCGACCGCTTGATCGTTCTGCCACTTGCTAAGAATATGCACCCGACGCACCACGTCGGACGACGTAGATGTTTGGTAAAGCACAAACGTGGCATACGTAGATGCCGCGAGATATGGAGAAGGAAGAATAGCACACGCTACTGTGGTCGTTGAAATTCTGGGCAAATACCTTGCCATGGTGACGTCACGGTGACCAATGGACACACGGAGGTGGCCGAAGAAGCCGCGATAGCCTTAGCACTCACGATTGTGATAGACTCGCAGGCGGCAGTCTGAAGTTTCGCGCATGGCCGTGTCTCGCGGGAAGCGGCGCGCATCCTTCAAATGTGTGGCAATGGAAACTCGGCGTCGTCCTCACAATCGCAAATTTCGTCGGTTTTCCTCCTATAGACCCCGGCACACACCGACGTTCCGCCCGTGGGAAACGAGGCAGCCCAGGCCGCGGCTCGAGGTCTCACTCGCCGAGCCGCGGCACACTGCATCGTGCCTGCCACCTCTGACTCCAAAAACGAGGCTTTGCGTCTGCTGGATCGAGACACTTCGATAGGCACGCCGCAACAAGAATCAGAATGGTCATCGAGACTTTGAACACCCGCGCGCGTTCGTGGCCCATGCTACGAACAACTTTATCCCGTGTCGCTGAAGCACAGTATGGTAGTGTATGCCGAGGCACAGAGCAGGGTAGTGAGGGCGGTTACGTGGGCTAGTTGGTTGTGATCACTGGTATTAATTTCATTAGTTAAAAAAATAATAGACGCCGACAAAAGAGAGGACACATATGCAGGACCGTACTGTTCATGTTTCCTCTCTAATTGTGTCTGCGTGTGTAAAATTATTTGCGCTACCGAAATGAATGCCAACTGAGCACAGGCGTAGGTTACTGAATTACTCGAGAGCACTGGTACGGTGCACAATACCAGTTCTCCCGAGTGATACGGTATTCGATGTCGACACCGGAGTTCTGGCGACGCGGGCTTTTTAACGTCACGTGGCTTTCTCGTTTCCCCAGTGTAAAGTGATGTGAGGGGGGTGGCTACATTTTGTATCAGCCGGACTATTCGTGCACTGAACCTGAAATCCGAGGTCCGTTTAGTGCACGGGTGGCGCCAGGATTATATTACCGGGCGGAGGGGGGCGCACACAATAAGTGAGTTTCTTCAGTGGGGGGGGGGGGGGGGCTGTCGAAAATTTTGGGGGGCTTCCAGCCGCCACCCCCGTAACCACCCCTGGCACCGCCCCTGCTAAAAACGGACCTCGCGTGAACCGAATGCAGGAGTTGTTGGACCAAAAGTTGGACAGATAAAGCTTCGAGCGCTGGCAGGAGGTGTATTTGTGGCTTTTCAGCAGAAGTAAAATCAAGGCATGGGTAGTGTTTTAGAAGTCCTCTCTTCAGTGAGCACCTGTAGGGACCTTACGACCGACGGAAAAAAAAGAGAGATCATCCTGACAGCTTGAACTCAACCTTCTTTCTAAATGTAAAAAGTGGGGTGCAGTACGGAACAGGGAAAAAAGAAGAGAATGACAACACAGGGACTCTACGCCACTTTTTGCATTCAAAATGACTTGTTACCAACTAGTCCAAATGGCTGCTGTACTCAGCCGTTCTCTTCGTTTAGCCAGCTGCGTGGATAACGAAAGTTTTATCTTCGCAAAAAAACCACATGGCAGCTGGCTTAACTATTGTATTTCCGTTATCCACGTGTTCCTCGAGAATTGCGTGACCATGTAGTCGACACCCGCGAACAGCGAAAGCGTTGTCAGCGCGTACCTTCGATAAGTGAACTTTGAATATGCCGCCTGTGTAGTGCTTTTACTCGCCTTCAGAGAGCGCCACTACGTCTATACGAAATCGCTTAAAACAAGAAAAACAACCAAAATACTTCTATAGAAACCTACAAAACTAGGTTTCAATAATTTTTATTTATAAATAAAAGACTGTATTTGCAGTGCTACTAAATTTAGTATACTAAAGTTGAATAAAAATGTACCTAAAATATGTTTTTTCTTGATGACGGTAGATGCCGCTACCACCCCATACGTGTGCATTCGATCGTGAGTGCCGCTGCGTGTTGCTGCTTTACCGAAAAAATGCAAGTTGTGTTTACAGTTCTTACCTGCGTATTGTGTGTCGCTGCTTCGGGTGTGTCAGCGGCAGAAGATAGCAATAGGCTGAGTTGTCCAGCTAACCCGGCAGCTGAACCACTGTCACCTGGCCGTGACATGGCATCGGGGGAAAATTGGAAAGATGCCTGCTCCATCTACGAGTTCATCGCGGAAGATATTCGAGGGAGGAATGTCTCGCTCAGAAAATACGCGGGCCACGTTGTACTGATAGTGAACGTTGCCTCTCGATGCGGTTTCACCGACTCCAACTACAAGGAGCTGCAGGCACTGCACGACAAGTACGGTTCCAACGATCCACCTCTGAGCATTCTGGCATTTCCCTGCAACCAATTCGGAAGTCAGGAACCAGGGAGCAACTCGGAAATAGAACATTTCTGCAAGTCCACGTACAACGTAAAGTTTGACATGTTCGCCAAAGTGGACGTGAACGGCGACGGCGCTCACCCGCTATGGAAATTTCTGAAGTATCGGAAAGGGGGTACCTTGGGCGACGCTATTAAGTGGAACTTTACCAAATTTCTTGTCAACAGAGCAGGACAGCCTGTAGGCAGATACTCCCCAACGACAGCGCCCAGTGCTATCGAAGATGACATCAAGAAACTGCTTGCTGGGTCTTCGCATCTCTGAACTTTTGTAGAAGGGGACGCGATACTTCATAAAGCAGCAGCGCTGTTCTAGTGCGTCACTGTCAGTGTTTTTTCAAGTTAGCTGTAAAGTGCGAACACATTTCTGCTCATTTTTTAAAACCTCATTTGCTCTTTGCTGCTTAGACTCGTTCGTGCTGTGATGGTTGCGGCATGTTGTACACCTCTTGTTGGAAGGTCACATAGAAATTACTTCAAGTCATCACTGCGTCTTCTGTCTTCACTTGTGGGCATGGCAGTACGGTGCGGCGCAAGTACTGCGCCTTTACTTGCACGTGCTTTTGTTATGTTACACATGACTAAACATGAGGGCGTTGTCATACATAAGAATTAATACAGTCAATGCGCACACACACACACACACACACACACACACACACCACACACACACACACACACACACACACACACACACACACACACATATATATATATATATATATATATATATATATATATATATATATATATATATATATATATATATATATATATATATATATATATATATATATATATAACAGAAGGAGCAAGGGGCTTCGGCGTGCGAAGTAGTTTTAATGACGTGTTGCTCGAGGTCCCAAATTCAAATTCATCAGAATGAAATGTGAAGCAAGCTTGCTGAATATATATATATATATATATATATATATATATATATATATATATATATATATATATATATATATATATATATATATGTGCGTGTGTGTGTGTGTGTGTGTGTGTGTGTGTGTGTGTGTGTGTGTGTGTGTGTGTGTGTGTGTGCCCATATCAGGCAAAGTAAGATACGCTAGCGACAGATCCTAAGTGTAAAGTTATATATGAAAGTGCGTATGAACAGCTCAAGACCATCTCTGAAACGAGTGGTACAATGACGGTCCTGATTGTATACACGTGTGGGAGGAATGTGCATGAATGTGTGTATGTATCGGTTCCATACTTTTTGCGCGGCCGCATCGAAGCCCGCAAGATTTCAAGTGCCATATACTTGCGTGTTTGTGACTTAATCATTGTTTTCCGCATTGTTGGTCTTCATTTTTTGAGACGAGGGAATTCATTAGCCTTCGAATGACTTTCGTGGCACGCTTTTCAAATTGAGTGCAATATATGGCGGTAATAAACAACAGACCCCTCACAGTTGACACGCTATCCGAATTGTCATACACGCAAAACACACTTTCTTGTTGTTGTCAGCAATTCATCGACATTACGCATCAATAAAATTAAAAGAAAGAAGCTGGGGTCCTGTCGTAGTTCTCTGTGGCTGTCCCGCGTTCAGGAAGGGCTTGCTAAGTGTCGCTAGAGTCTCGAGGCGTTTTTCAAGTGGATGCACCAACTCAATTTTGTGCAGCCTTGCTTGGACATTGACAAAGCATGTGCAGGAACATAGAAACAAAATCCCACGGCAACCCATATAGTGTACGTTATTTCGTGCCCTTTCGTTTTCCAACAGCAGTAGCAGACGACACTGAAGTTGTTCGCAGACGGCTTGAGAGGGCGCCACCGGCTCAATGCCCGCTAAGAACGAGCGAGCCAAGCGCGCACGCTTGGCGCGGGATCCTGTCATACAGCGTTCGTATTAAGCGGAGTCGCCCGGCTGGCGTAATGTAACAACGCGCCAGTGGGACGCGGGTGAAAGTGTACCGGCTCGTGCTTTCGTGCGCATCCGTCCAAGAAGCGCTGCGTGTTTAGGGCGCGCCTTTCCCCGACCTTTGTGGACCGCAGAATCCCAGACCGAAGTTTCTGTTGTTTATTTATTATTCTTTTTTTTTTCGCCGTGAACACGGTATACTCTCCTGGAAACATCGCTATTCGACATCTTCAGCATCGAGAGGCGAACGCAACAATCCTGAAGTTTGAAGTGAATCAGGTTTATGCCTTGGAGAGCTGAAATATGAATATATTCATTCTCTTAGCTATGAGCGCGAAGTGAAGGTAGCAAATTCTGTGAGAAAACAAACAGGGCATCTCTACGCTGTATATATATATATATATATATAAAGTCCTATAAGCGCTGCTTAATGCCTTCAGCAGCATAGCACGGTGGCGTAGTGAGCAATTTTTTTCGGCGAAGGGGGTTCAACTACCTCTTATGTGTGTTCGTACGCCTGTATAATCACATGCGAAATTGAAAAAAAAAATGGGGGGAGGGGGTGTAAACCTCCCTCGCTAAACTAGTGGCACAGTAATTAACGGTGTTTAATCGTGAGGAGGAAGGGAAAGGAATACTACAACTTTTCTGAGAGAAATGAAGGAATTCAGTACCCAGGACCTGTCATAGACTGATATAAAGCATATTGTGAATGAGGAATAGTTATTCTAATTTTAATCTTGGCCATCATTTCCTCATGGTTCATTTTGCAATGACAAATGCACTATTTTGCGTGATCTCGAGAGAAGCGATCTCCGAATACAAGTAGAGGAAAAAAAAAATATGCGGCTGTATAGATAGCCTTGTGCAATGGTTTCCTAATGGCGATAAAATGCCCATTGAGTAGTTTATGCCATTTTATTGGGAAATAGGTACGTAGGTGTGGCTATGTTGCATGCACGACCGCGCCGATTTGCGGCTGAGAGAGCGAGTGAATAAACATATGAGAAAGTTCTCGGAAAAAAAATACTATGAGTGCTGCGAGGCAGTGCACTCAGTTTGTCAAAAGCAATAAACAAAGAAATAAATAACTAAATAAATAAATCTGAAAATGAAAGTCACTGTTCTGTTGGGCCGCATTGGCGACTCAGCATTTATCATTAGCCCCAGTGAAGCTAGTGCCCCATCATGTGGCTTCTCGGCCGCATGTATTACGCCAGTTGCACCTGCGCCGGCACTTGTCACGACGGACAATCTTGGTGTCGTACCACATTATGAGGCGTGCTTCGCTCGGACGCCAGCGATGATCATAGAAACTGGCTGCGCTCGTGTCGTGGCTAATTCCGTCCGGGCCCAGATGTGTCCCAAACGGGAGATCCCAGTCCCAAGAACCCCCGGAGTGTTCATTCAGCGCGGGTGGAAGCGGAAGGGTGGAGAACGCCTGCCACCGGGCCGAGACCTTGGGCGCTTTTAGCCGCCCGGTCTTGGCCAGGGCCCAGCGGCGCTGTCTCCAAGCGGCCTCACGTGGCGTCCGATCGATGCGGGGGCTTCCCTTCCGCGGGCTAATTGACTTTTGAGCGGGGCAAGCCTGGCCTTCGGCGCCAGCACGTGCTCCGGAATGTTAGGGAAAGTTGGAAAAAGGCGAGCCACGAGCGGAGACCTCCTCGCCGGCGGGAGAGTCGGCTCCGCCCCGAGGAGCGTCACTCACGCGTCAGAGCAGCGCCCAGCGGCGGCCAATGAGAGCAGCGTAAAGTGACGACACCGCGGCGGCGCACGCCGGCGGCCGTGCGCGCTGCGAAAGAGTGCGGCGCCCTATAAATGTGGCGCGTGGCCGGCGCCCAGGGAACCGTTGCATACGGCTGGGTCGCGCAAGCAAGCCAGCCTTGAGTAATCTGTGCGGAGAGTGCGGACTTGTGCGCGCGGCAAATTCGAGGACCGAGCGCATCGTCGGGGTGCGCGCCCGGCGAGGGCAGTGTGTGGAGTGGTCACTGGCCAGCGCCCCCCGGGTCACGACGGCTTCTCCGCTGCGGAAAAGCTTTGACTTTGAGCACTGCGTGCAACTTTCGCCATGTTACGCGTCGTCCGGCATGGACTCGCCCCATCTGTATGAGTCGGCGAGCAGCGAGGATCTGAAGCATCCGTCTCGACAGCAGCCGTCGCTGGTGCTGAACGCTGCGCTGGGCGCGCGGTCACAACTGGGCGCCTTTGACTTGGGCTCGGACGGCTGCGTGCCGGACCTGGCCGAGCTGAACACACCCGAATTGTCGTTCGATCTGCAAGGCTTTATTGCGGACTCTTCCTCTTCGGCGCACTCGTCCAGCAGCCTCGAAGAGACTCTGTTCACGGATCTGCTGACAGAGCAGCAGAAGCGTTACGGTGGCCAGGCTTTTTCCATGCCCCACCAGGGTGGGTCCCTGAACGAGCACCGGTACGGCGCTGAGGCGGGGCTCGGCATCAAGCAAGAACCGCTGGATCAGGCCGAGTACTCGAGCTGCCGCGAGCAGCCCTACGGCCGCGGCCTGCTCGCTTTTCCGGGCCTGCATGGCGGGGCCCCCGCGGCCGCGCCTACGCTCAGGCCGGTGGCTGTCTTCTCTTCGGGACAGCCGCATGGCCTGGCCCCGCCCCAGGGACCCCTGGGCTTGCCACCACCGCCTCCGCCACCTCAAGGAGCTCAGCTGCACAGGCTCGGCGGAGGTCCTCCGACACACCACAACGGCGTGGCCGCCGCTGCTGGACTGCGGCCCTTGGGCGCACCCCCTGCCAAGCCGCAGCCGCACCGCAGTTCTGCCGGCAAGAAGCTGCTCGACAAGGGCTCCGACGAGTACCGCCGCCGCCGCGAGCGCAACAACATCGCCGTGCGCAAGTCCCGCGAGAAGGCCAAGCAGCGCTCCCGGGACACCGAGCGCAAAGTGTCCGAGCTGAACCGCGAGAACGACTCGCTGCGCAAGAAGGTCGAGCTGCTCACCAAGGAGTTGGCCGTGCTCAAGTCGCTGCTCACCAACGTGGGCGTGCCACCGGAGAACGTCGACTCCGAGATCGCGCGCTCGCTTCAGGGCTACTAGGCGGCGCCCACGGGCCGCCCCGTGTCTAGTCAGCTGTACAAAGGGGCCCCCGGGCCTGGACTCGCCGGCGCCGGCTCGCGGCGGACCCCCAGTGCGTACCCACCCCTCCCCTTCATTCAGACTGCCGCCCCCTCCGTCTTGCGTTGAGTACTGTTGCACCGTTTATTTTTTTAAGAAAAACAATATCAATATTAAAGTCCATTTTCCGTTCATCGAAGCGCTGGCCCTGGTGTGTGTGTCTCTCGCCCGCCGCTCGGAGCCCCGGCCTCAGGGCAGACGAGCGGCGGCGCTGTGCCCTAGACACGACGCCTGCTGGCGTGCGCCAGCTGCTTGTCGCGGTGGCAGGCTCTCCTCGCGCCTGCCACCGCGCCTCGATGATCGCTCCATTGGCTCGACACCAGCAAGGCGTCTGTATACACTGTACCTTTTGCTGTGATACTTGACCGTAATTTGCTCATTTGGCCTATCGTAGAAATGGTTTGCTGCTTCCTGTTGAATGTGACACAGCTTTCCATGACAGAGCGCAGGTGCCTAACTTTGTCACAACCCGTTGGCAGAGTGCGAAAGAGCTGCTGCAGGTAAGTGCGCCGCTGCTGCGCAGGCGGTAGCTGTCCAATGTGAAGGCCGGCGCTTATCATGCGCCTCGCTGGGTCAGCGTGACGCAAGGCGCTCACTACTGACGGAATTTCCGTACGGCGCGCGCGTTGCCTAGGCGACAGCGTCCCGTGCGCTGCCAGGGGCAACAATGCAGCTGTGTCTTTTGGTCAGGCCTTACGCAATACGGAGGATACACTGTTTCAGCACTTGTCAAAGTTGCGGCCGCAACTTTGGCGCGCTGCGTTCTTCGCCATTCCGCACCCTTTCCAGATCGATATACGCTCGTGCGGTTTCGCGACTGGCCGCGGGCCGGCGTCACGGGCGCGTCCCGCTGCTTGCCCACTCTTCTTCACTGGCTGAACGTAGCTCTTTTCAAACGATTACTCTGTCTGCTCGCGTTCCACGCATTAATACAAAGAAAAACTACGCATAGATCGGGGATAGACAGGTGGACATGCAGTGTCCAGCACTTGCGATTGCTTCAGGTTTAGTATTCTTGTGCGTGTTTTGTTGGACATTTAGTATTTTATTTTCTATAGTTTTTGCTGTGTTGAGTTTGACACAACTCGTCAGCGATTAGCACTGTTAATGGTGAAAAATATCACTTCGAGCTTTGTTACATGAAATGTTTGCACATTGCAGCCCCACTGTAAACACAGATCTATATTTATTGAGCACCTAGTGCTGCGAAAGGCAGCCTGGAAGTTCGTGGTGCAGTACCTTCGACTCTGCGTTACCGGATGGCTTCCGTTACATTGTAGATATCTTGCTATACTAGTGCAGTAGGACAGCGCATTTCATATGATAAAAAAAAAAACAAATTTGTCAGTAACATGGGCAACCATGGCCAGTCGTATGCACAGTTACTTTTTAATTTTCGTTTTCTTTTTTATCGGTGTAGAAAGAGGGGGGGGGGGTGTGATTATTTTTTCTCACGAAGCGGCGTCTTTGCTGTGCGCAGTACTACCACTGAAATCGACGAATAATAGGAAATCAATTGAATCTGATGAGAATCGGTATTTCATATTACAATTTCTGTGTAAACGCAGATACAAACTTATTAAGCATTCGACGCTTCGAAAAGCAGCCTAAAAGATGGTGGTGCTTTGGTGGCTTTGCTCTGGTGCCTCTATGTCGTGACATCGTTTTGTTGTATTTCTATTGCAGGAGTTGTTCATATTCACCTCAAGAGCAGCGCTTCCTACTCAAAATCTAATGCTGCCAGACAATCAAAGGTAGTTTCTTTCTACGACGCATCCGTGATCTGCTATCAGGCAGTCATTGCGTATAGCATGTGAGAAGCTTTCTCATATTTGCTAGGTAATGAGGTGAAATTACGTGGTGGCGTGAGAAAAAACTTTAACCAAGCAACGCAATGTATATATATATATATATATATATATATATATATATATATATATATAATAACGGGTTCATAACATGAAATTGACAAAAACGTTCTACTTTCTCGTAGTCAACGTCCGTGCATTCATCCAATGCAACTACTCTGTCGCTCCGTTATTTTATGCTTTTCACTGAACAGCACTCGATACCGGTTATTTCCCACACGTCGTAATACTAAACATGTGGTAGAATATCCTGCACACATCACAGACTCCCCAGCTTGCGAATGTTGACATTAGGCGAAGTATGTAGTCTACTACTTTCTTGTAATTTTGTTGCTCAGCAAGCGAACGCCTTGTGCTGCAGGAAGTGCTTCAAGTTTACCTATTTTCAATCCGGCTGGTGCGTATGCCCTGACATTCACGATCTAAGTAACACTTCGCTCTGCATTAAGAACCTTGTCCTGACAAAAAAAAAAAAAAAACGGTGACGCTTTGGTTTACAAGCGCTCCAGTTCTAGTCTCAAGCCTACTTTGCGTGCGTCGTCAAATGACGCTTTGCGAACGACATTTCGGTGATATTCCAGTCACAACGTCGCAGTTAGAGGAATCTTCGACGTGCACGAACTGTAAATAGTGTGCATAGAGCCTGAATTATTCATATTGTACATATTGTACATATATTTTGTGGTGTGATGTGTGCAGTTTGCTGATTTCTCGTTGTCGATTCTGTATGTATGCTTCGTTTCTTTTGTTACAAGTAATTGTTTCCACGCTCCCGGGGAGGAGTCGATCTCTTCGTTCTTAAATAAACGCTTCTTTCAATATCTCTCCATTTATGCTTCTTATACGTATACATTTATCGCCCGCTGATTTATGTATATGAATAAAGAGACCAGTTCATGGAAAATAGATATTTTGGCTGGCATCTAAATACCACCGGCAAGCTACTCTGTACGGGGGTCGATAATCATATTAAAATAATCCACAAGAAAGCCAATAATAATAATAACAATAAAGAATCTAAACATATATGGATTGTGCAAGTGAACTTGATAGACATATTTATAAATAGGATGTCAGATGAATGAAGGCGTTCCTATATGAAACAGTCAATCATTAAGACTTTCCGACTAGCCCAATTTCCTATAAGTAATTGAATAGTGGCTGAAATACCTCTCGCTTCGTCTTAAAGTGATGAAAGTAACGTCCGACTTTGATCCCTGAAAAGTATTGTACGCTGACGTTATCCATTTTTTTTTCGGTAATGATGTTCAATGGCTTTTATTTAGTTGCGCAATACAGCGTAGGAATTTATCTGCGCCCTCATAGAGATTGCGTGTCGGCGTTTCTGCGCTTGCGGTGTGATCCCGCCAGATTCAATGTCACTGAAGTATCCTTGACCATGAGAGCATATATACTTATACGGCCTTCTGGACACATTCACCTGCTCCCTTTAGATCGTCTGCTGCCGGGTTGTGGCGATGTATACATTTCTCAAAAGCGTAAGTTGAACAACGCGGAGCTCGAAACCATACCGGCGAATGCGGAGATCGGTATGCAGGCAACACTCTCAGTTGAGAGTTCGCCGGATCCCCTTTTAGAAAATGGTCTGTTGAACTGATCTTTTACTGTCGAACTGCATGCATTCCAAAGCGTCATGATGCCCAATGGCGTGGTGCGTTTATCGTAACAAGCAAGTCAGCAATTTCTTTAGTGGGAAGGTGAGGGGGAGGCAAGACTTTTCTAAATATGAACACACTCTAAGAAACAAAAACTTCTTTGACAATTTTTTAAAGGTCTTTATTTGTCACCTATATCACTCTCTTTAAATATTTAAAGTGACACATGAACTCTCTTTGAAAATCATTACCCTATCTCTCTCTCTAGATATATATATATATATATCGAGAGAGAGAGAGAGAGACATCTATAGTTCCTAGTGCCAGCCCCTAATTTTCCCGTCTTTGGCGCAAGTTGATCGAAAGAATCGCGCGTAGATTTGCGGCACGCAATGAAAACTGTGAAGTCACATTTTTCTGGTTTTCGTGCCCTCTAGCTGGGTCTATCTGTAATGTATTTCAATGAGGCCCACTGACACATCGGCAGGAGGCGGTTCATTGTCGAAAGACGAGAATGCGTGAAACACCATAGCCATGTTTCTTTACACTTCTGCCCAGCCGTGGACGCGGCTCCTTTCGGCGACTTGCTATCATGCTAGATCCGCGGATGCACGAAAGAATCGCCTGCAAGACGTAAGTTGAACGGCGCGTCTCTGGCTCGAATAGAGTTGTTCTCTCCGCGGCCAAGTGGCGTAGCTTGCTTTACGAGGGCCAGCCGTGTGACCGCCGAGGAAAACTCCCACGCGCTGCCCGAGAGAAGAACACAAAGAAAAAGGCGGAGCAAAGTCGTGATGGCCCGAAAGTCGTCCAAGGACTCAGTTGTAAGCTAAACCCGTTCCCTTCCCTGCGCCCGCGATCGTCGCAGCGCTCGTCCGTATCATGTTTCGGCAAGTGCTCGCAGCAAGATGGTCACAAAATAGAGACAAGCCCGGCGCCGGGCTGAGAGCAGCTGGTCCTGCGAAGAAGCGCGCGCCATGGTGTGGAGGGATGCTGCGCTCATCGTCACGCTTTGGGCCTCCCGGGGGCGGAAAAGGCGCCTGCTGACGGTGGTGCCGAAACGCTTGCAAATATTTGGTATAGCTAATGCTCCTGTTTCTCAACGGCAGTAGCGTTCATCTCGAGTCACAGGTGTTCTCACATGTCCGGGAACCGGCACGCTGATGCGGAGCATGTGCATACCAAAGGCTGGAAGCATCTGGCGGATGTTATCGATGAGCGGTTGTTGTCGTTTAAGAGGTCATGTCATCTTCGGCATCATGTTAAGCGAGTAACCTTTGGTGGGTGGGTGGCGTCACGAACCATTTATTAACAGAATGAAACAGCACCCCTGGATACCTTTCGTTTACCATAGAAATGAATGAACTGTTTCTAAAGGCGTTCCTGATTTCCAGGTACCGATGTAACCACTCAGGGCACGAATGTTAATATGTGTTCACACGAAAGCGACCTTTGCGATGGGGCCGGCATACGGGCGTTGTATTCATGGGGACCAACGGCAATACTCAATGCGCCAACCAATCGTGAAGCATTCCTGCTCGGAGATAACAGCTTGGACAATTCTGCTGCACAACAACGAGCTGACGCCTGGTTTCACTTTCTGTACATGATTGTTGTAAATTGAAATACGTACAGTTATTTAGGGCGATGTAACTCGTGAATGGAATCGTTACACTTAATCGCACTCTTGAAAAATATCGGATGGGTTTGTTTCCTGCAGCGTCTAGTGGTGAATACAAAAGCTTCATTTGGGGTGGGGGGATCAGCATTATACACATGCACAAAATATATGGTTGATTATGCAAAGCAAATGGATCTGTGCATATAATGCATTAGAAGTCACACCGTGAGCATCAATCGCAGACTGCTGCCTAAAGCGATCAAGGTTTTGCCCTATTGGCTGACAGATGTCGTGACTGTAAATTCTGAAACACAGGCGGCATTGCTGTAACAATTCCATGCGGCAATTCATTCAAGCATATCAGCGTTTGGCTGTATGGGGCTGCTTGCGATGATAGGACAGACGGCTAGCTATCGCTGCCAAAGTATGTAGGTCCAGCGAAAAATAGAAATGGCGACATTCTCCAATATGGCCGTATAGTTTCTTCTCGTCAGTTTTTTCTTTAATCTTTGGCGTTTGGCACCTGACAACCTTTTCACGATATTCATACCGAAGGACTACTTTAAATAAACAGCGCTCGTTTGCGCGGCACGTGTCGCGTGTGTAATTCACGCGCGTTAAACACTGCATTAATTTTTGACCTTCTTAGATATTATCAATGCGCACAACAATGTGAGTGCAACATTCTTGCGGGAAATTCTTTGATATGAACGCCTGGTTGTGCTTAGGTGGCAACGTGCTGTTGCTGAAAAAAATACCGGAAGAAAAAGTCACCGAGTCCCTTTAGCTTTAGCTTGTTGTCTGCGTCGGCGTTGCCTTTCGTGGGCAAGATCGCTTTCATATTCGTTGTCATCCATGGCAGAAAGAGAAAGTGTGGTCTAGAACGCGCTCGTCATCGTCATCGCGTACAGTCCTTGCATAGAGCTCTATACAATAATACTTGGAGCAGAATCTGCACGGCGCTGCAATCATATACCCCCATGGGGTTTATGGGAAGTACAGGCTGCGGATTGGATTGCGCTAGCTAGCGAACAATCTACGGATACTTTTCTACAGTTTCAGTTTCGCTCTTCCGCAGCGTTGGTAGTGAGATGTGGTGCAAAGCAGCGCCTTTGTTGTTCACAGAGGCTGAAGACCACT